CGGGAGATAATGTTACCGTTCCTGGACCTGACCTGCTTATCTCTGCTTGTGACCAGCCACGTACCCGGACGTTCAAGTCCCTATCTCGCAGACATGTCCGTTAGATAGTGACTTCTAGGGTTATGTTACGTACCGCTCAGATGATTCAGATGATGCAGATGATGCAAAGCAGAAAATTGCATTTCTTGCATCCCTAAAGGCTTCAAGATACCCAACATTAGCACGAAAGCACTCTAAGCCGGTTCCAAAAACGTGAAAAACACAGGATTCTAGAGCGAAAATGTCCCCCCCCCCCTAGCTAAAGCTACAGTACTACTGGCGGTACTTAGGAATCACGCGTGCCCTATAAAACGCCTCAGCACCTTCGGTGCGGGCGGATTTTTTGGCCGCTTCCTGCAATGCTGAGCAGGCGAACGGCCGGCAGAAGGCAGAGGTCGTGAGAGGCCCAGAGTCCTTGACTGGGACAAGAGACTCGATTGCAGCTACCGTGGCTCGATTGGTGTTGAGGTGTGCATGGATGTGGGTGGCTCAAGAGACTTACTCTTTGGCTCTTTGTTCCCCGGAAGATGCTTTTGAGGTGCGGCCGCTGGCAGGACAAAAGGGCCTCACCTGTGGTGTTGACACCAATGCCGGAGCAAAGGACGGGCAGACGCTATTGATGAGAATGATATTTATCATCGTTTCCATGCACCATGCAGGCATCGAACTTGATTGTAACTTTCAGATGTGCTTTTCTGCCGGCCTTGATGGATGTCTGGTTCAGGAGAGGAATGATGACCGCATTGCAGCGCAAGACCTGCATGAGCTCGGGTTCTTGACAGGCATCTTTGACGGCCATAGAGGTGTGATGCTTAGACTTGTTGCAATCCTCAAGGGTGGTTGGGAGACTGCAAAACGTGGGAAAGTCAGCCCAGCAAGCTGTGAGGTGGTTCCTGTGCTGAGTTTGCGGTTTGACGCCTAGAGCAGCTACAGATGCTGCTAAGATGTTCTTGTTCCCCTGTGAAGTACACTTCCGCTGAATAAAGGGGATGCTCGCATGAGGGCCTCTCACACTTTCTTCGACCAATGCAGTGTGCAGGCCAAGCAGGTCCCGGCCAACGTGCTTTCTGCGTACAGGACACGGGCGAAACGCTGGTTCCTCAGAAATGATGAGAGAGGTCCAGGAGGGGTTCATGCCTTCATGCCCAGCCTTTTGGCTTTCAAGCAAATTAGTGGACCAGCCAAAATCATTCTACGGGTCGAGTGCAACATTGATGATTTCTTGTGCTTCACCCATGAATAATGATGCATTGACGGGCTTGGAACCTCAAAAACGGTTTTACATGGCAACCTTGCGCTGCTCCATCAAAGCTTGACTCATTGCATCTTTTGCGGAGCACCGCTCAAACAAAGGCATTGGCAGGCATTCTCACCACGAACTCAACCACTTGTGGTCGTGCAAGCACACTTCTGCTCTAAGGCGAAGGGAGCTTAGTGAAGCTTTCGGCTGAGAAGGAGGTCAGGTGTTCGTGGTGATTGTGATTATTGACATGTGCGGTTTCTTTTGGTCTTTCTGGCATGTGTGTGTATATATATATATACACAGTGGCATAGAAAGGCGGTGTATGGCATTTATGGGTCCCACAGAGGCCCCTAGTTCCTGCGCCTCCAGGCAGCTCTCATTGCGGACTCGCTGGTGGACAGCTTTGAGGTCACATAGACACAGATGTCCATCACCGCGATACGATAGGCCGTTCGACAGTCTGATTCCTCGAACAACAGGCGACTGACAAGGCTGGGAGCCGTCTCTGGCTTTGGCAAAGGATTCCATGCAAGTATCAAGTATCGTCATGAGTTATGCTTTGTCAAGTTGAGTGAGTGAGTGAGTGTGAGTGAGTGTGAGTGAGTGTGAGTGAGTGTGAGTGAGTGTGAGTGAGTGTGAGTGAGAGTGAGTGAGAGTGAGTGAGTGAGTGAGTGTGTGTGAGTGAGTGAGTGAGTGAGTGCGTGGGTGGGTGGGTGGGTGAGTGAGTGAGTGAGGGAGAAAGTGAGTGAGTGAGTGAGAGTGAGAGTGAGAGTGAGAGTGAGAGTGAGAGTGAGAGTGAGAGTGAGAGTGAGTGTGAGTGTGAGTGTGAGTGTGAGTGTGAGTGTGAGTGTGAGTGTGAGTGAGTGAGTGAGTGAGAGTGAGAGTGAGAGTGAGAGTGTGAGTGTGAGTGTGAG